TATTACTTTAACTTAGTTGTTTTCGTTCGTACTGTATAGTACCTCCTACCTACCCTTCGTTCCCCCTAACCCGTACCCACCTACGTCACTCGTCGTCTTCTACTCTCTCCTACTGTATTGTCTCTCTCTCTCTCTCTCTCTCTCTCTCTCTCTCTCTCTCTCTCTCTCAATGCCACTACTCTTCCCTCCCAATATTATATTATTTCTCTAGTATTTAAGCCTTGGGCAAGAGTGAGAAAGCATATGGAGATGTATGAATTTGGGAGAGTGATGGGACAAAGGTCAAAGGCAAAATCCAGCAACCATTAAAAAGGGATTTGAGGTATTTCTAAGAACAGTGAACTCATAGAATTTCTTCTTGATATCTCATTTTCTTTAAGTAAAGTTAGTTTAGTTGCTGTGATTTTTTAAGAGTTTCTGAGCATACAACTCAGTAACTCTGATAGTATTTTATCTGGCTCTATCCTGGAGGTGTGTTCACCGGATACCCTATTGCATCTCGGTTTTGTACCAAGTAGGTGGTGATCAACACTTCGAAGAAAGCGAGCTCCTCTCGTGCCTCCAGATCGTTTAACCTCAAAATCCTGCTCCGATTCCTATGGAAATCCGACTGGTACTAGGAGTGTTTAGGTTTCCAGATATAACCTCTAAATCCTGCTCCGACTCTTACAGGAGTCCAACTGGTACTAGGAGCGTTATGGTTCTATTCAGGCTTTATCCCGGTTTAGGGGAGGTGCTGCCGAAATTTTCCCAAGCTGACAGTTAGTGAAAGGTTTATCGAGCTTGAATTCCACTTATCAGGCGATAGTCAGATTTATCGAGCGTAAGTTAAACTTATCGAACGTAAGTTAAGCTATCGACTGTGCGTTTGAGCTATCGAATGTATGTTAAGCTATCGACTGTGTGTTCAAGCTATTGGGCGTGCATTAAGCTATCGACTGTGCGTTCAAGCTATCAGGCGTGCGTTAAGCTATCGATTGTCCAGTAGGTTATCAACCATGGTCAGCTATCACCACTAGCAAAGCTAACACTCTTGCCCCCAAAACCTTTGTAGTGAGGCTTATAGAGAGAAAAACAATTTTTTGATTTTTCAAGAGATCGAAAAAAATTTCAACCTCCATACCTCCTTGCAAAATTGAAGGATATTCATCTCGAACCTATTTGAGGCTTATAGGGGTTGGAAAAGAGGAGATTTGGGAACCAAAAATTACCTATTTCGGCCAATATCGATTCCATTTCGAGATGGTTGGTATATTTCAATATTTTTATTAAGAGTTATGTATTTTTTGTGTAAAACACATTATGATGTTATTCCTTGCTTTTTGTCTTTCCTTTTTGATATTTTATGATATGTATTCGATATGTTATCAACTAGTTGGATTATTCTGCCATTTTGATTTTTAGTTTGGGAAAGCAATACAATGGAAAAAGTCCATTGCCCTCAAACCAAATGAATAAGTTTTTTTTTGGCATGAGTTTGCTTGCATGATTCATAACTTTTATCGCCTTCTTTTTTTGCATGAGTCAGTTTAATAATTGTCTTATTAGATAATTGCATGAATAATTTATTTTTTCAATGTTATGCTTTAAATCATTGCAATTTTGATGTGTAGGTTTTACCTAGATTCTTTTTGCCTTGAGCATGCTAGCTTTACTTCTTCCTTGGATTATCAAGAACTCAAGATATTCAAGGGTTAATGCATTTATTCTTTCTACTTTATTGCCTATTTGTAATTTTCTAGATGATTATCTTTTAATATTCTTTGGATGATCAACTTTAAATTTTTAAATATTTAGACTACATATTTGTAAAAAAAAATTCCTAAATAGGGGGGAACATACTAAACCTCCTGGGGCGGATGCGAGGCAATCACCATTGGAAGGTTTCCCCTACTCCCTTGTCCATTCCTCCATCGAGAGGTCAAAGTCCATGCCCTGATAGGGGGGCTTATCCCAATTCCAAAGGTGTATCCTTACCTTTTGGCAGTCGCCCTTCTACGATTGATTGCCCCGAGACCGCGCAAGGTTCAATGATCGATTATAGTGAGACCACTGAACTTTTCGTAGTGACTATCGATTGAACGCTTATAAATGTATTCAATTTTGACTTTGTTGCCCTTGTGTAATTTTCAGGACTAGATGCTAAGTTGATAACTAAGGGTCGTAGGTGAATTCGTCTTCCTCGCGTTCAAGTAAAAAATTGATCCAAGTTGGAAATATGGATATTGTCTGAACCCTAATGACAAGAATAGGGTAGCTCTCACATTTTACAAAAAGGAGTATAACATTGGCATTAATCGATTAAAGAAACATTTGGCTAGTAAGAGAGGGGACGTAGCAACATACACTCTAGTCCTTGGAGAGGTTAGGAAAGAGATGTTGGATCTTTAAATGGGGATCAAACGAAGAAAGAACAGATAAGGAAACAATATAAAAACATTAGGGCCTCTGTGAACAAAAGACGAAGATTAAGACGGAGTGGGAAGGCCTCCATATCTAGACTAAGTACCATCGGGCATAAGAAACCTCGAAGAAGGGCCCATTGATACATTCTTCCCCCCCTCCTGATCTTGAGGTGGTGATTTGCGAAAGGGAGCAGGCACAAACTAGTTTGGAGAGTCACATAAAGAAGCAGGATAGGGAAAGGGTTAATTAGTATGCGGCACGATGGTACTTTCAGGCAGGTCTACCATTTAATACTGCCAATTTGAGGATTTTCCAAGCTATGTTGGAGGCAACGGGGCAATTTGGCCCAAGATACAGGGTCCCTACAACTTATGAGCTCAAGGAGTCTTAATTGAAGAAAGAGGTGGATCTAACAAATGAGTACCTGAAGACCCACAAGGATGACTGGGGCAGATGTGGGATGACTATTATGACTGATACTTGGACTGATAGGAGGTCGAATGTTATGAATTTATTCGTCAATTGTCTCATGGGAACAATTTTTTTGAGGTTCATTGACGCATCTGATAAGATTCATGATGCGACTTTCATATTTGGAGTTATGGATAAGTGCATTGAGGCGGTGGGAAAGGCACATGGGCAAGTTGTCTCTGATATGGCTAAGGCCAATATAGCAGCTGCTACATTGTTGGATAGGATGAGGCCACACATTTTCTGAACGCCTTGCACAGTACATTGTATTGATCTCATGCTTGAGAAAATTGCCAAGAAAAAAGTAATGCATGGGATATTAGAAAAGCTAAAGCCATAACAGTTTTTACTTATAGCCACACCGATGTCTTAGCCATGGTGAGGAAGTTTATAGATGGGACTAACTTAGTGAAGTCGGGGGTCACAAGCTTTGCCACTTCATTCTTGTCTTCAGATTCTCTGAATAAGCAAAAAGACAAGATTTGAACCATGTTTGTCTCCTCGGATTGGAAGGAGATCAAACGATCTAAGGAGGCAAAGGGGCAAAAAGGTCTATGACAATGTTATGACACCCAGATTTTGAAGTGGGGTTCAATTTACCTCCATATTTTTGAGCCACTAGTAAAAGTGCTTCGCCTTGTGGATAGTGAAGAGGAACCCACAATAGGGCATATTTTCAAGGCAACGGAGGTTGCAAGAGAAGAAATCAAGATGAAATTGACAAAAGGAGAAAGCAAATATGGCCCCATTGTGAAAATTATAGACAACAAGGGGGATTTGCAATGGAAGAGAGCCCTACACCTAGCAGGGTATTTTCTCAATCATGCTTATTTCTATTCTAATTCTAATAGCATGTTACGGACTTTAGCTAAAGGGCGTCTGGCAAGGCTTCTTGTTTGGTAGCCAAAAATTAGAACTTAATCAGCACTTTTTTCAGCTCGATTCCACATTTTTGGTTGTTTTATCCATTCTTATGTATTGCATGCTTTCCCAAACACCATTTTTTGAATGGTGTGTGCTTTCTAAAGCACAATGTTTTGTACATGTTTCCAAACGAAGGCCCATCTAGTGAGCCTACATTATACTATATAATCTTTTTCTTCCATTTTTTTATTTTTTTACTGAGAATGCTAACTTTTGTATTGAGTAAAAGACAGTTTTAGAAGTAACCAAAATATGGGTATCAACAAGCTGGGAGCTCTATACAAAAATGGGAACCCCGTCACTCGGGGGCTGTACACAAAAAATAAGCATCCCATGAAGTGGGAGCCCTGTACAAAAACAACCACAAAAAGGTACAATACGCGCCTAGACAAAAACGAAGGCATAGCTGTGATGCTATCAAACAAATGTGGTCTAGGCTAAGTTAGTGACGTTTCCTTCTTTAGCTAGCGTGTCGGCCTCCGGGTTGCCCGCCTGCCTCCATGAAACGACCGCATGCCAATAGAGGTGATTGATTTCATCAAAGATCTGTGCAAGAATCTAGGGGCAAGATGTCGAGCCAAAGGCCCAAGTAAAATAACATTCTTGGAGTCTCCCTCCACAATAAAAAATGGGCTCCAAGAGGATTGAAGAGTTTGAGCCCTTGGAGCAGAGCAAGGGCTTCGGCCGAGTGGGAATCTACGTGTCTGATATGTTTGGAATATGAGATAAGGATACGACCTTCACGATTTCTAATAAGACCCCCAATATCTGTAGGGCTTGGGTTGCCGAGAGAGCATCCATCAAAATTGGGTTTGAGGGCTAGCTTCGGGTGGTCTTCAAACCACATCACGTGAGAAGTGTGGTTGGCAAGAGAACAGCATGTCCTGACAACTGAGAACTAAGTCCGTATGCAGGACTTCCTTAAAGCACTTGTGATTAGTCCCCCAAAGATGATTATTCCCCCAAAGATGACTAGCATTTTAATTTTGTCGAACAACTTCACCTATGAGGTTCTCTCACCAAGGAAGATTCAGTTGTTCCTCTCGGTCTATATGACCCCGAGGACGGCTGCCACAGATGCCTTCCACAAAATGACGCCAAGTTTGGGCCAAGGGCGTGAAGGGAACTAAATAGAAGGCGGATTGATTTGGGAGTGAACAATTGCCAGTTGAACAATTGGAGAAGGGCACCCCAAAGATTCCAGACAAAGGGACAAAGAATAAAAAGGTGGGCATTACTTTCCTCATCATTGGTGCATGAAACACAACAGTTGGGTACAGGAATGCCTCTTCCGTGCAACTGATCCACCGTGGTGCTCTTTCGGAGAGAGAAATCCAATTAAAAACTTGGATCTTGGGTAGGATTTATTGTGGTTAGGGTTTCTTAAGGAGCAACTTGGGTTTTATATTTTTGTTTTTTTATTCCTCCTCTATAAAATAATAGAGAGAATAAGAACTTATTTTTGGTATTGTGAAAAGATTGTTGTAGGGTGAACACTCTTGCACACCCAGAGAGGATTGATTCTCCCACCCCTCACCCTTTTCTTGTATTATTTTTTTCTAATTTGCAATGCATATTCTTTCTCCCTTCTCCCTACATCAAAATTACAAATGACCAATCCTATCATGTAATATGTGACCACATTACCTTCATTGATATCTGGCTATTGGGCTCAACAATCAATCTCTGACTCCATATCTTGTGGCAACAATTCACGTAGGGTATGCATTTATGCCTATTGGGTCTAAGCCACTATGTTGATAATTTCACCTTCGAATTCCAAGCACCCAATTCTACATGCTACCCATAAAATATGGCTAATTAGATGAAATTGGCTAGCAATTCAACTAAAAATTTAAATGACTAATTAACAAAGAGCACAACTATAAGAAATACACACTTCAAGACCGTCAATATTTCAAAACAAAAAAAGAAAAGAAATACACCATGGAGCCAAGAATAATGAAGTACCTCCTGCAATTCCTCTCAGTTTCGGAATACGTCGGTAGAGCGGCATTTGACCGCCCTCAAAGCCAGCCCTAACTCCCGGTCCAGACCTCGACTTCTGGCCTCGCATTCCAAACCCACAACTGTTTCCTTGACCAGCAGCGATCCCCCTCCCTTTCCTCTTCTGTCTCTTTCGAGAACCCGGTTGTGGACCCAGGTTGTTCAGCCGAAAACGGCCTACAACACTCACAGTGAAGCAGTTATCCCCAACAAAATGCAATGTATAGTTTGATTAGATGGACTGTGAGAAAACCATAGCCATGACCATTTGATGAAATAATGAACAGTGATGGAGAAGGTGGGGCACCCAAAGGCGGGTTCCTGCGCTTCAACCATGGTCCACTGTGACCATAGGCAATACGATCAATTGAAGAAGGGTGATGGAGAGAGGGGAGGGACCCAAAAGAATTAGGACATGGCCCTAAATCGTGGGTCCCACCCTCTTCCTCCATCACCGTCCAGCATATCCACATGATCCTGACGCCTGAAGACTGTATCACCATTTCCATTTCCGAGGACTGTATACCATATTTCACAGTCCATCAGACTGTATACCATACGCCAATCCTGGATGGTACATGGCACACCATAACGACATCACCATTTGCATTTCCGATGAACGAAATTACAGTTATTCACTCAGGTTCTGGATAATCTCGGGCGTCATTTACCCATGGTGTACCAACTACCAAGGATTACCACTTATATAAGGTATACTTACCTAGAAGAGAAACTGAGAATAAGGGTGAATGAAATTCTCCCTTGCGTACCATGAGCCACACACACAACACCATTCATGAGTGCTTACCATGGTATACTTTCTCGAAAGAACAGAAAATCAAGAATTAGGGCTTCATGTATTGAGAGGACCAACCAGTTGGAGCCAAGGGAGGAGCAGGAGCAGTTCTACATACAATAGGTCTGAAATTTTGAGGGTTTCTTCTGAGTGAAAGCTTAGCACTTGGACTCACTGCATTTCCCTGTTAAAGTGAGATGAAGTCGAATTAGGGATTCCTTAAAGAGTTCTGAAACCTTTTCATATAAAAACATTGGGGTTTTTTGTGCCATACCTTGAAGAGAGAAGGTTGGAGGAGCTTCGGGCGCGAAGGAACAGAGGGGATAATGAGAGCAGGAGCAGCAGCCATGGCTGCCATTGAGGCGAATGGATAATCCCCCTACTGTCCTTAAATAAATTGTTGTACAGAAGTATCAAAAATGCCCCCACCTTTATCGAAACAACTAATGTGTCCTAATCTAACTAGAAATTTACCTTGAACCCCATCATATTTAACATGCATCTTCATGCCCTTTTTTTATAATGGTGCAGTTGGCATACGGATGCAGATGCATCCCTAGGTGTAGGGGTAAAGTTGACTTTCAAATTTTATCATGGTATCTAATTCTCATGTAAAATGTTATTAGGATTATTTCAAAATCTATTTTTCAATCTAATTATAAAATTTTAAATTTCAAGAATGGTTAAAATCAAGTAGATCTATAAACATATGAAAACCTTGAAAATAGACATTGTAGATAATATGTTGTAAATGCACTATTTCTAAGACTAAAATCTTTTTATCTTTCATAGTCATACATCTCGATGTCGTTATGATCAATCAAGGTGTTTTTCAACATTAAAACTATCTTTTCCGATGGATTTTTGAGGGGCATCCATAGTTCTACATTAGAAGGCAGCATCCTTATATAAACTTTTTACTTTTTATAAATGTTATCATGATTAACAAGTCTTCACTCACCGACTCTTCTTTTAAATGTCGCGAAACCTTTTGCTCCCTTTTACATTATTTTCTTATATTTAGTGAATCCCCTTCCATTTGAATTGAAATATTTCCATTGTATTTGCTTCATTTGTTGGGCATTTGGTCTAAAGTAAGAGAGGGTTATCGTTTTCTTTTATTGTGTTCCCTACTGAACCACTTGTACTTGCATTCCATATTGGAGTATAGCCATAAAGGCCTTGTGAGTATTATTTAATTCATGGTCTCTCTTTTTTTTTCGCTTTTTCGTGCATTTAAAAACATTACTTACTTTCTATAATAATATTATTTCTCTTAATTTTTTTTACCACCTTCTTTCCGTTTAAACTACATATTAGTAACATTGAAACAATCTATTTTTTAAGAGTAAGAGAGATGGAGGAAGTGGAGAAAGAAGGCTTAACCGTTGACTAGGGCAGAGAAAGATCTTGACAGTTGCATACAAAACCTATCATATGTAACAAGGGGATAAGATCCAAAGTTTATAAATGGGGGCTAGCTGCCCCATCATCAGACACAGAAAAATCTGAGATGTATATGCCATTCTCTCTAATTATCCATATGCTTAACATCAAAATTCCTCATTTTATATCCATGTTCTCTATCTTCCAATTTCTATAAAAAAATTTATTATATTTCCAACACCATTATCAGAGCGAGGTTGGTCTCTTTTTGCATTTTCTTGATGGGGCTCTACACCTATTGCGCAAAAATCAACTTGTTTCTGTCTCTTCAACAAGTTCACCATTGCAGACACACTAATTGCCTCAACAGAACCCTACGGATCTACACACTATTGCTTGGTCGCCATTCTTCAATTCTTTCTCTGAGTCTATGTTATTAGTTCCATTAATGTCGTCTCTCTCCTTTGCAAAAGAAACCCTTATTGAGTCTATACTACCTCATCCTACTCTCTTCTTCATTGTCATTATCACAATCAAAGCATTTTCTCAAACTATTTGGGATTGGCTATATGAATCATGGTATGTCATTCTACTCTGTCAAGGGTCATACCTTTAATAATGTCATAAGTCGCCATATCTATTCTCACTACTTCCAACCATGCTTTTTGGGGCCTACCCTTTGTCCTTTTTGAGCCTTCAACTTAAACTAACTTGTACCTCCTAACATATGTCGTACAAATTTTGTGTTGTGCATAGCCAGCTCACGTTAGTATATTTTCTCCCTTCGTATTGCTTATTAGTGCTATAACTTATGAATGTATTTATTTCAAATTTCATCCCTTCTTATCATATCACTCATCAATTTCAACATCATCATCTTAACTACACTCATCTTATGAATTTGTTGCTTCTTGACCGCCTATTATTCGCCCCATAAAGAAAAGTTAGTCTCACAACTATCATTTAGAACCTGCCATTTGGCATCACTGGTACATGCATCTATTACATAAAACTCTGGTTGCACATCGCCACTTCGCCCACCAATTCTAATTCTATGTGAGACATCTTCCGCAATATCTCTATTTTCTTAGATTATTGACCCAAGATAGCAAAAGCGCACTCTTTTTGGTATTTCTTAGTCGTCAATCTTAACTAGTACCTCGTATCTACTTCTATTATTACTAAATGTGCATTCCATATACTTTGTCTTAGTTAGACTAATCTTAAAATATTCAACATTTGTAGCATCCCTCCAAAGTTTTAACTTTATTTTGACGTTGTTTCGAGTCTCATCGATCAAAATTATGTTGTCTGCGAACAACAAACACTACGGCACCTCATCTTTTAGGTATCTAGTTAAGTCGTCCATAACTAAGATAAATAAGTATGAGGTCAATGCTGACCATAAGTAAGGCCATAAGTCCCCATTATACTCTATCTTAGTAAGTCCATAAGTCCCCATATATTTACTTACTACTTCCAACCATGTATTTTTGGGCTTACCCCTTTCCCTTTTTGAGCCGTCAACTTGAACTAACTTGCACCTTCTAACATGTGTCATATTAAGTTTGTGATGTACATAGTGAGTCCACCTAAGTCTATTTTCTCTCTTCTTATTGCCTATTGGTACCACAACTTATGATTGTATTTATTTCAAATTATATCCTTCTTGTCATACACTCATCCATTTCAACATCATCATCTTAGCTACATTCATCCTATGAATATGTTGCTTATTGATCGCCTAATATTTGTCCCATAAAGAAAAGCTGGTCTCACAACTATCATTTAGACCTTGCCATTTAACATCATTGGTATATGCATCGATCACATAAAATTTTGGTTGCACATCTCCACTTCGCCTACCCAATTCTAATTCTATGTGAGACATCTTCCTCAATCTCTTTGTTTTCCTGGATTATTGACCCAATATAGCAAAAGCATGTTTTTTTTGGTATTTATTAGTCGTCAATCTTAATTATTACCTCGTCTCTTCCTTTATTATTACTAAATGTACCTTCTATATACATTGTCTTAGTCAAACTAATGTTAAAATGTTTAGCATCTGTAGCATCCTTCCAAAGTTTTAACTTTATTTTGATGATGTTCTGGGTCTCATAGATCAAAATTATATCTCCCGCGAACAACATATACCATGGCACCTCATCTTGTAAGTGCCTAGTTAAGTCGTCCACAACTAAGATAAAATAGGTATGGGCTCAGCACTAACTATAAGTAAGGTCATAAATCCCTATTCTACTCTATCAAGGGTCATACCCTTAGTAAGGCTACGAGTCCTTATATCTTTTCTCACTATTTCCAATCATGTCTTTTTAGGGCCTACTCCTAGCCTTTTTTAGCCTTCAGTTTGAACTAACTTGCACCTCCTAACAGGTGTCATACTAAGTCTGTGTTATACATATCCAGCCCACCTAAGTCTACTTTCTCTCTTTTAAGTGCCTATTGGTGCCACAACTTATGAGTGTATTTATTTCAAATTTTATCTATTCTTGTCATACCGCTCATTCATTTCAACAAAATCATCTTAGCTACATTCATCTTATGAATATGTTGCTTCTTGACCACCTAATATTCGCCCTATAAAGAAAAGTTGGTCTCACAACTATCCTTTAGAACTTGTCCTTCAGCATCACTAGTGTATACATTTATCGCATAAAAGTTTGGTTGCACATCTCCACTTCCCACCCAATTCTAATTATGTGCGAGACATCTTCCTTTACCTAGATTATTGAGCAATATATTAAAAACGTGCTCTTTTTGGTATTTCTCATTCGTCAATATTAACTACTACATCGTTTCTACTTCTATTCTTACTAAATTTGCATTCCATATACTTTGTCGTAGTTAGACTAATCTTAAAATATTTTGACGCCGTTTCAGGGTTCATCGATCAAAATTATGTCGTTCGCGAACAACATACAAGGTGCCTAGTTAAGTCGTTCATAACTAAGATAAATAGGTATGGTCTCAATACTGACCCCTAATGTAGACCTTTTGTCACTGAGAACTTACTCATCTCTCCACTAATTGTTTGCACACTAGTTTGTGATACCTCAATAGGCTGTAAATGGATCCTCAAAAAAAATAATTCAAAACTAATGGAACTATTAATAAAGGTAATGCTAGATTAGTGGCAAAATGATTTACTCAAAAAGAAGAACTAGATTATGTAGAGACATATTCTCCTTTAACAAAATTTGCATCTATAAGGGTAATATTAGCATGGGTAGCATATTATAACTAAGAATTATTTCAATTGAATGCCAAAACAACTTTCTTAAATGGAAAATTAAAAGAAGACATTTATATGAAACAATTGGAGGGATATATCATTAAAGGTCAGTAAGAGAAAGTATATAATTAAAAAAAGCATTATATGGTCTAAAACAAGCATCTAAGTAATGGTATTTAACTTTTCATAAGACAGTTTCCCAAATTGCCTATATAGCAAATAGATTGGACCCCTGTATATATGTTTAAAATAGTAGAAGTAAATTTGCGATTTTAAATCTATATGGAGATGATAATCTATTAGCTGGTAATGATTTGAAAACGATAAATAAAACTAAGTCTTAGCTTAATTCGCATTTTGAGACAAAGGGTATGAGAGAAGCATAATAAGTTTTAGGGATAAAGATTACAAGGGACATAAATTCTAAGCTTCCCTATGTATCTAGAGAAAAATATTTGAAGACTATTATTAAGAGATTCAAGATGGACAACTGCAAACTAATAAAAGCTCCTATTTGTAAAAGGGTGAAGCT